AACACTGTCTGTCAGTTACTCTGAGTTGGTACCGTGGTGCAAAAGGTCGATAATATCAGAGAAGTCTGAAAGGATGGTATTCATAAAAAGGGTTGTATATTTTGAACATGCTATTTATTACCATATATTCACCATTTGAGCAATGTAGAGATTAGTCAAAGTGTACTAGGCAAGACACTCAGGTCGGTCACTAAGGTTATGAACCTTCAGCAAGTGAGACTTAGATTGGCCAGACTTAAGTGTGACATGGCTGAAAATCGGTCACAACGGTGCATATGTATTCACTCTGTGACATCTTCCATAGCTGGAATGTTTTGATCAATCTTTTTTTAAATTCCGTCCTCATATATATATATATCTTTTTCTACTTGGGTGTCAGTCTTTTCTATTCACCTGTTCTTTGTATCCTGCTGTGAAATGCGACAACTTAGACCGATTCACTTATGTGCAATATTCTATTTTGCTTTCATCTATCTGTCTGTCTGTAGTGTCAACCAGTCGAAAAGTAAATAGCGTCATCTTTAAAAATTTTGGAAAGAGATAAAGGAACAGATAGTAACCAGACTATCAAAGGTAATTTTTGTCGACAGACCCACTTGTTTTCATAAAAATGATTGTACCGCCAATATATTTCTATTGGAAGAAAGAAACCTAACTGAGTAGCTCATTCAATGAATTGTGAATAAATGCATATCTGTAACTCTGTGAATAAAAGGGGGAGAAAAGTGTATCCTAGTTCTTATGTGTATCTCCCTATACCACCGGTAGGTCTATTTAGTTTAGCAACCAGATGTGTCCAGTTCGAATTCTGTCCCACCGCAGTTATGCATTCACTTTTAGTTGTTGTCTCATTCAGAGAAAATGTTTTATATAAATTATCAACTATGATATTCAAATATCAAAGTACTTACCTGGTCAGAGGATTGATTCTCAAATATTTTTTTAATGGTAGGCTCTGTGATCCCAGGTATACCCAAACAGTTTACAATCTATTCACTGAAAGTATACCCAATTTTTCCAACATTATTTCATGACATACGTACCCACGACTATAAATGTTATGATAACTATTATAATAACTATTTTCATCAGACCCGTATTAACCTGTTTGTTTATCTGAGTAAATTCGATTATTAGAATAGTCAAGAATGACTTTCTGTACTCGTTTCAACTCATATGGTACAATACTGAGGGAAATCGATAGTTCAATAATAATAATAACAATCAAAGATATTCCGAATTATAAATGTATGCTAATAATGTATACTAGCAATAGATATTTTGACAAGAACTTATGTGTAAAGAAAGGCGAAAATTACCAGAAGTTTGCATTGACTGATGACTGGAGAACAACCAGTCTTATTTTATCCAGTCTTGAGTGTTGACCGAATTCTATCGATCATTGTATAGTGTAACCACCAAGCTAAGAGGCTCACCATGACGGTGAACTTTGATGGATGTTAGTTGGTTGTCAAGTAGAAGTTTAAACATTCAGGAAGGCTAAGCTAACCAAGTTTCACATCATCTCCACTTAGGTGCCTTTAATTAGTTGGATGAGAAAATTTCCAGGAGGAAGTTGTTTGGTATACGATACACTAGTGAACGAAGACAAAATTGGATCTCATATTGTACTAGCAACTCAGAAGTGGTATTGAATTGAACTTCTGGGAACACAATTGTTCACAGCTTCAGTTTTCAAGATAATACATACAAACAAAAAAGGTATGACAATGGGATAACTAATATCCTCCTTTCGTAGCAGATGGAATTATTTACTGTTGGAAACGAATTACCCCAGTAACACTAAACCCTGCTACAAAAATATGATAGAGGTAATATAAGAACCACAAATTCCTGGTGTTGAAGTCAGAACATCTCGATTAATTTCTCATGCACATAAGCTCAATATGTGATGCAATCAAATTCATGCATGAACTGGACAGTCGTAAAGGAGAGCCATATTTAATTGCGAAGTCAAACAAAAGCTTGGAAAACATTTTAGACACTGCAGTCTATAAAAGGTGCTCAAAATATTAACAACAGTAATAATGGTAACAACAAGACCATGGAAAAACTATAAATGACCATTGTGTTACCATATAGGAAGGGACTTTGGAAGCTCTGTGTAGGATTATTAATAAGATCAGAATTAGATTGGCACTTAAACCTACAAACTCACTAAAAGACAAACTTTGCTGGCTTAAGGACGCTACTGAGCTTATGAGACGAAAAAAATTGGTTTACCAAATTCCATGCATTGAATGTGAGGCCAAATAAGTAGATGGGTCAAAATAAACAACCGAAATAACTTACATTAGTAGATCACAGTACCCTGGCAAAACCCAAGATGCTAAACCCAAACAAGATAAGAAATCTAACAAAAGTTTAGCCGTCGTAACTATACATGCTACCACAAACAACAAGATGATTGGGACAGAGTGAAAATCTATAAAAATAACTTGAATAGATGAAGTTTTCAAGATTGCACTCACCATGGACTGACAACAATTAGAGAACTATTAAAAATCTGAGAACACTGGACGGCTATTTCTTCCTAGTATGGCACTCGTCAGTAGTGTGCGCCTACGACTCCGCCAGGCATCGGACTAACTACCTTCATTTTTCCCTGGGAGAATATGATAACCGGAATGAAGTAAAATTATATCCAACTTCATCTTCTTCTGATAGTTTCGGCTTCCTTACCAAAAGTATGAAGCTTTTACTTGACAAATAATCATCAATCTGTTTTCATTCGATTACTCAACCAAACCCTGAGTTGTCTTCCTTGAAGACAGTCTACCGTACAAAAATTGAGATGTCGACTTAATTGCAATTAATTAGCTAATGGGCAACTGAACAAGATTCTTTTCTGTCGAAACCCCGACCACATTGCATTTATCAGACTCCTTTGTTATTTTATTGTTTCAATCATATGTTATGGAGGTAACGTACTTTGTGTTTCACATTGCTACTGTTCAAGATGCATTTTGCATAAAAGTATTATTTACATTTCGGCAGCACATAAGACTTAAACCATAACTGTCTGTGGTCCAGTCTACATTCTACCCGAATTTAGGCCATCGTTGTTACATTTGAGGATCATGATAACTGCACTTCAAATAAATCCTACATTACACGAATTGGTTACCAGTGGCTCACCAATTTAGCTGTCTGTCCCTTAGAGTTTGGCCTTGACCGAAGACCATCTATCGAGTTTGCAGTGTGGTCACTGAGCGAAGTAATGGTGTTGGATATCAGAATCAATTCTCAAGAAGTTCTGCTAGGCATAGGTTTTGGGCTTATTCTCACTCTTCAACAAAACGTAACTATGAGGTGACTCAAGTTTCCCCGATGATTCAAACTTGCTTAGCTTAGTACTGGGTTCAGAGGCTTCAATATGGTTTCCAAACAACTAACTACTGAAATCTAAAACCAAAACACATTGTGATGCAGTGTACACCACTCACTTCAGTGGACAAATTACGAAATCGATTGACAGAATTTGGTCACTGCTGAACACGGAGGACTGGACAGCTACGTCGGTTACCCACTTCCGTACGATTCGTTTTCTTTGATGCACTCCTACAGGGGTCATTCGTTGCGTGAATAGCATAGTGGTAGATTTTCTCACTCCAGTACTGAGCAAAACCAGTTGGAATCAATAAGAGAAAACTAGTTTTTTCGTGTTTGCAGATGCTACTTTTGGGTGAACGCTGATAAACAAGAAACCTATGCTGGACAGGTCTTCATGGGGATTGACTTCCACTAACACCAAAATACCACATCCCCTGTGGAACAAAAATGACGATTACTGTAATGCTAAATAACGGAAACTCTTTAATCTCTGCCACTTGGCTTGAGTAGGAATCATGTTTATGAAGTCAAGTTTCGTAGACAATCAGTCGATAGCCTTCACAAAAGTATTTAGAAATCATTCACATAGCGATAGCATTAGTACCACATAAGCTGATGCATTAAATCTTGCAAATGTTAGTTTTAACTGCCATCTTCATCAGTCTACCAAAACAAACGCTTCGTCAGATAGTCTGATAGACTATCATTATTGCTTGTATTCAGTATTTTGGCTTTTGAGATACCTTTGAGGCCATAACAAAACAATATTAAAGGTCACCTACAGATTACTATTTATTGGCATACTTGTGATTCTCCGTCGTTTCATTGAATCGAATTGTTCGCCCTCTAGGCTTTCATTAATCTGAAATCAGTGGGGAGATCTACTCCACTGGACTTCGCTCAGCATAAAGAACAAGATCCGGATTTTCTTCACCAATGTCAAGTAAGTCAGTGCTTCTATGTGATGGTTCAGAAACGTGTCGCGTCACGAAAAGTATTTTCAACAAACTATGGACATACATCAATAATAGCTGTGGCCTACACTCACTCGATACTGAAGATCAGATCATATGGCCAGAATAATAAGAATAAGCAACAAGGAACTCTGGTTGGTAACGAACCAACCAAGAACCCATCGGCCAACAAATATGCAGAGGAAAGTGGAAATGGATTGGATTCGGCATACACTGAGAAGACCATTTGGGGACATCACTAGCCAGGCCCTCGAGCGGAACCCAAAGGGAAAACGACGAGTTGGGCGTCCTAGCCCAGGGTGATATGAATGAGATTGTGTGAGGAAGAAATGAAAGCTTCTGGGTAGTCGTGGAGTGACGTTCAAAAGACTGCACAAGACATAGTGCAATGGAGGTGTGTTACTGAAGCCCTATTTTCCTCTTGGAACCCAAGGGACAAATAAAAATAAATGATAAAGCTCAACAAATCTTTTAACGAGCAATCAGATTTGAGAAACACTCAGCAAATTAAGATATATCTAGCTGGGTTCAGGAAACCACCTCCTTTATTTCAAGGTTCATTCACCGTTTAAACCCATTCAAGTAGGTCGATTTCAAAAAGGTAACTATAGTCAGTAAAATACAAGGGATAATTTTTGAAAGTATTATTTTTTTCACACATTCAAAAACATTTTACAGAGTGATTTCATTTGACTTCAATTTACGTGGTATCATAATGTAAATGATATTCTTTTTCTGTTTCACACGTGCTGAATTCAAATAATACATGTCTAAGCTAACTTTATACTTATGTTCAACATATGTAGTCAAGTCATAATCGAAATTTTCATTTTGTTCAATGATAGCCTCCAATTTCATTGGTAAATTCTCCAATGTCTTGAGTGTTACCAATCGTTGATAACCGATGATAATCACCTCTTCATTTAAATCGAACATGGCACGTACACTTTCAGGTTTCGCCGTCGGATCAAGTGTTACTGTAATACAACAATCACGTTCTAATATTTTCACTGCAATTTTTGTTTGAATTCTTGGCAAACCAGTGGGTACTAATTGACTGTCATCTCCTAGTGGTGTGTTGAATGTACGTGTTTCACTGCATCGAAATACAGATGAGGCTGTTTGACTATGACGATAACGATCTTTACGACTTTCTTGTTGTATTTGATCTGATTTTTCTTCCTTTTCAAACATTTCATTTAATTTTTGAATTGCATTCAATTCATCTGGATGTAGCATTTTCATGAGAAATATTAAAAAAATTTTTCTACTTATTTATGAGCTAATCGGATCTGTAAAGAAGGGTTTTAAAAGGTATGAAACACTATAAACAGATTGTTATACGAAATAAAGATTACTGCATAAGATTACTGTAGACAAAAGTGTTATACTAATTAGTCCATCCCAAGGGAAAAAGTGTTCTTTTCGTTGGTCAAATATGACTGACTCTAAAGGTCACCTTAGCAACAAGTGAAATAGGTAATTAGACTTCTGTGTTTTATGAAAATTTTGCCTTTCCAGTTGAAATGGAGAGACCTAATTGGTTATTTCGATCGTTGCTAGGGTAGCCTCTAAAATTACCCGTTAAATATTCGCAAACAGATTTCACCACCCAACCTGAGCTAAAGTGTTCTCACCATTCTATTCATCAATAAGAGCCCTGTGACCATTGTGGACGGCGGCGAATATGATAGGGCTTGTCACATACCACGCTAAGCACAAATAAAATTCACGTGAGTGCTATCAAGGTGATTTAACTTAAGATGAGTGACTTAAAAGACCAATGAAACATCTTTATGAAAATCTTCCTTTGCAGCGGAAATGGAGAAGCCTAATTGGCCATTTCGACTGTTGCTAAGGTGGCCTTCAAAGCAGCCCAACTTTGAAGGCCATCATAGCAACTACTAAATTATTCAATCAAGTTTCAGAATTTCAACTGAGAGGGGTAATTTGTCATAGAAGAGAGGGATTTAATTGGTTATCTCAGCAGTTGGTAGGGTGTCTTTTAAAGTCGCTCCCTAAAATCAGTACCTCCCTTTGTTTCAGGCAGAGAAGGAGTAGGATTCAACGCATAATAAGTAGGAAGAAGAATACTGCAATAAGTTCAGAGGAAAAAAAAGCCTATAAGTAATAAGATGTTTGAAAAAAGAAATGGATGAGTACTTTTGCATTAGTTTAGTGGTTTTTTGAACTGATTCAACGGTCTATTTTGTAGCTGGAAGGGGAACTATGAAACAAGGTGAGAACAAGTATACAAATTAAAATCAAAACACTGACACTAAGTTTTTATACTACCTAAGAATAAATAAACAGTTGTGATAAGAATGATGAAGAAGAATGTAGACAAGTACATTCTGTCGTCTTGTCAACCTATGATATTAAAGTAACCTGTTATACTGAACACCATGAGTGGTTAGAAACCAATCACGAAGACCTAGAGATTTTGCTATCCAGACAAAAGTGATCTAAGCACTAGGCAACTTTTCCACTCATTTTCGATCGGACTCATCGACAGTACGTTCGGACAAATCCAACTTACAACCCAATTGTTCAAATAAACTAAATACAGAAAACGAGCTCGGATGGGCTGACAGGTCTGGAAAATGAGTACTTTTTCAATTGCTCAATAGTGTCGTCCTCAGAATATCCATGATTTCTGATACAAAAGTGTCATAACATAACAAATAATACTGTATATCAGCAGTGAAAAATGTCAACACATACCATGCAATATGTTAGTAATTTACGAATCGCTTATCCAATATATTAAAATGATTTAGTTGGTTAGTCTAAGGTGTGAAGCAATTACATATCTCCCGTTTAAAATCTTTGGGAAATCAGGGTTCTAATATCTAGAGTTATGTTGACCCATCGAAAACGTACAGACACTACCCACCTCCATTTAAGTGAATTACTCTTGAAACACTAGAGAATAGCTAAATCATAGTGAAGTAGATGTTGATAGAAACTGTGATAGGTACATTCAGAATCACGTTCGTCTTGCTGTTTACATGGACGGGTCGGACTTTTCCATAAGCAATGTCGTTGTACAGATATGTGTGTATGTCGTATTTGACAGCTACTTATTTGCCCTAAGAGACAATGAAAATGAAAATCCATGTTTTAAGCTTTTGGTCGATGAACCGGAGGTTTTCATTCATCATAATTCACTTTGTAATAGTGGGCATTCGGAATGATCTTATTGGAGAGTTTTGTGTTCTCACTAACCAATTTATTTCCTACCATGTACCTAGTAAGTCTTATTTACAGGATATACTTTCCTTCAAAAGTACTACTATTAATAATAATCTTCACAGTTATAGGCAAGGTTTCATGTTTCGACATCTTTTACTGCTCAGTGAAATGTCAGACACTGGGGTAAACAACTGTTATTAATGAATGCTTGACGTACTACAGTACATTCTGTATCGTTTCTAATTTTCAAGTTCAGTCGACCACTTCAGGCTTTATTTGATTACGGCGACCACTCGATTCCCGGGTGGAGGTTTCGATAACCTTATGCCCTTAAATCCAAATCAGTATTATTCTGACTAATTAGATCTGGATTAACCGGATTCTCCTGGTCCCTTTTTACTGCAGTTACGAAACTAGGAGACTAACCAATGCGATGCACTTCTGATCAGTGTTAGGTGGTTGCAGATGGTCGGCAGGAGGCCCTGAACGTAGATTCGTGCTTTTTGGTCCTCGTCAAGATGTCGTTATAAGTACTAAGTATACGTACAAAAGCTTCGAAAAGTCAAAGAATATTTCTTCATAAACATCAAAACAAGTAACAATAATTGATGGCTCAAAAGCGAACTTATAAATGTGTCAATAAAACAATATTATTAACCGTCTGCTAAAATTCTGAGGCATAAGTACAAGAACCCATATACTAAAGTAGGCCTATCATTTAGCTTAAGTATCATTATAATCAACAAGAAATTACAAGTGCAAATAAATAAATACTAACTGATAACCATTGCACAACAGATGACTTTTATGATGAAGTAGCTTTACGGAAGCACTCTAGGGTTTATAGCTATGGGTGCCAGGTTACAGCCTCATCGTTCACTGGGATGCGGGTGCATTCACCTGGTGAGTCGAAAATAGGATGAAACGCCCATTCTGGGTTCCGCTGCTACCCACAAAGAAATAAAGTTGTAATCTATGTTTAAGATGAATGGGTATTTTTAATTTAGAAGTAGTATTCATCATGGACTGACATCAGCTGGGGAACTACTGAAAATCTGGGAGCACTGGACAGCTGTTTCGTCCTAGTATGGGACTCCTCAGCAGTACGCACCCGCGACCCGGCTTCTCATTAGAACTTGCTGACATCCATCTGGAAGCAAGTCACTAATGAGCACTATAGAGTAATGTATTTTTGAGATGAGTGCCGTGACCTATAGGGTCAACCAGTCAGAAATGAAGTGGATACTAACTGAAGACCTTGGGTGACAGTCGCGCAATGTCGTGAATTGACAGAAGTTGGAAATCGTTAACCACTGGAAACCGACCCAATGGCTGAACGGTTAACGCGTTCGCCATGAGACCTGAGGGTCCTGAATTCGACCCCTAGCCGGGTCGCGGGTGCGTACTGCTGAGGAGTCCCATACTAGGACGAAACAGCTGTCCAGTGCTCCCAGATTTTCAATGGTTCCTCAACTGATGTCAGTCCATGATGAATACTACTTCTAAATAAAGTTGTAGTTATTTATAGTGATTTTTCAGTTGGTTTAATCGAATTTTTGCGTAAACCATAGACGAAAGTAACCGCTTTTTCACAGGTTTGTTTCAATGTCACTCAGTGAATCATTGAGTACCTGTGTAAAACTACCATAGGATTACTGAGTAATAAAAACAAATAATACCTTGCAGAAATCTTGCATAGAACTGATCAAATTAACCGGATATCTGAACTATGGTTAAACTAGGTTTCATAAAAAATCAGTCATTTACAGTCGAGATAAAACCTAGCTCACCTGTCCGTTATTTAAGACTGCTTTTTTTCGTAACTAGTCTACTTGAGAAAAAGTGTTCAACTTACTCTGTGAAAAAGGTAATGGTGCGAATATATTTCAACGGTAAGGTAGAAAGAAATTATCGTCTCATTTTATATCGAAATATTAATGCCAAAGCAAAACAATTTATTATTTGATTGGTAAACATATCGCTTTGTATGAATGTGTGCATAAAAGTGCATCTAATGGGTCACATACTTTGTCTTACGGAGAATATGATTATTATATGACATTTACAGAATAAAAAATTTTGAAATCTCTGTTGTAAGTATATAAACTTATAGTTAACCATACACTGACACATGAATTCATACATGCATACGCAAGCTGAAGGCTTAATGTGAAAATATTTTCTGTAAAGATTCTTTTATTGTTCTGAATCAGTCTAAGATTTTGTCTATTGTTTTAGTTTCATAACCATTATAAGTTGCTGGCTCGTAACCTATGTCATGCGTTTAGTTCTCAATAATTACTGATAGAATGCTGTCGATAACATTTAACTTTTCATCTCCACCTAAACATACCATTGAAACGAGTCACAAGGTTGATTTGCATGTATCTTTCAAGGCTATTTACAAAATTCATTGGGGATACAGACTTCAGTTTGTTGAAGTCCTAGTTATTAGGAAGTTTAGACCTATTTTATACTTTCAAAACAATTTGTCTTTACACTGAACTTACCTTGGTAACACAGCTTTAATATAAAGGTGGCTAATGCACTATCCTAATTAACAGTTCGACCCTTCACTATATCGATTGCCTTTAAACCATTTTTTCTTTGCTACTTTTCATAATAATTTGCATGTTAAGTTAGTGTGTGACCAAACTGCTTGAAGTGTATCAAACAAATAAACCAATTTTTTTGGATAGACTTAGTCGTCTTAGTGATAACTTTGTTGATAATCTTCTCAGTTGTTTATTGTAGTAAGTTCCAGTCGGATGACAGAAGTGGGGATCTATACCTACGCTAAGCCCAGAAAACGTGTTTTCCGGTGCTTTCTGTTATCGTTTTGCCATTCTGACTCATCAGGACTGTATCTCTGATACAAAGAGATCCACTCTTTGAGTTTACTCTTGGGAAACTTGAAATGGTTAGTCCCCTTGGTAAATTTCAGCAAACCAATAAGATATAGTTTATCTAAAAAGTGTGATGTGTTTGCACAGGACAGTCCGAACAACCTGGTCACATACTAGCTTAACATGCATACTTTTATG